TGAGAAAGCATGATCGAGCCACAGGTCACCTAGCTTCCGCCGGTTGCCAAGTTGGACTTTCCCAGAACGGCGACAGATGACACGCCGAAGAGCGATTGTCTGTTGATTTCTGGGTGCAGTCATGACGAATGTAGCACTATATGAAATTGACTTCAGTGTTCAAGCGACATCTGGGCACGTTGTGGAGCGAGTGTCAAGATGCAGCACTGTGATTCTGTTCTGGGACAACCGTTCTAGGACAATCAGCCGCGGAAGTGCACTGTTTCCACGGGTTGCCGACATGGATTCTTTCGAGCCTTCCTGTGAAAAACTCCGCGGCTTGATGCTTGATGGATTCATTTCCCACTTGGACTGCTTCTTCAACCCTGCTTGGGCTTTTGAGCTTAGCTCTTTCGGTAGGCCGCAAACATGGTATGTTAACAAGACACTTGTGTTCCACCAAAGGTCCGGAAACTAGGCAGGCATTCGCATGTAAGAGGACGCGCGTACTTCCAGAGCAGCAGCGTAACACTTGAGGGTTTAGGCATGTCATGTGTGCCATGTGCCAGGATATGCCAGGATGCATTCTATGAAAGCTAGATGGACTGAAAAAAACTGGTCCGTTGCAAAAGGCAAGCTTGTGAGCAAGGAACACTCAAAAAGCACTACGACATGGCTTCCACTGCTTGCGAAATTCGCAGCGGCTAAGTCCAAATACAGAATTGCGGGCAAAGCTCATCACTTCACATCGCTACGAAAGCGAGAGCGCCGAGAGCGCGTTCAACAGTACCGCTGGCTCAGCTGCTCGGCCCACTGACCAACCTTGTGACTGTTTGTTTCAATTCTTGTACGCGAGCTTTTTTGCTGCTGTTTGGAGATGCGTGCTAGTAGTCAGACAATTGGCTCAAGATTACGTGACCCTTGTTTAGTCGACTTCTTCGAAAAGAGAAAGGATGGAGCCTTTCTGCAAACTAGCAGCGCCTGCGGTGAGCAAGTCAATGAGATCTTTGCACTTCGGAAACGGCTTATGGCTCCTGTCATTGCCAACCCTCTATGAGATTGTGTTGGCTGAAACCTTCATGAGACTTACAAGGGACCAGCTGGAGGTCGTAGTCATGGAGCGTTGAGTTCATACCTGGACATTTCAAAACGTGTTCAGGGACGAGGGGACGTGACTTCTTTCTGCAGTCTTGTTTCAACTCTCAAATCGTTGCTCTCGCCTTCACGGCTCAGAATGATCTGGCTTGTTACCAGCGTCGCTTTGGCTCAGTGGTAGAAAGGAGAGAGCAGTCAACAAGTTCAAGTTTCAAAGTCGAGCAGATCGGTGTTAAAAGCAGGGATCCTTTTCACTGGCAACCGATCCATCGCGTTTTAACGCCGTGCAGCAGAACAACCTGCAAACAAACAGTCTCGTAGCCGTCCAAAGGTATCTGAGCAACACTGATGCAGCATCAGTGCACCGAAAAAGCAGTGCTTCCTGCTTTGGAACCCATTTGATCTTTCAACAGCTTACAGTGGCTTGCTGGAAAGTCACGGCCATGAGATGCTCTGGCGTGGAGCTTTTAAACTGGCACCCCAACTTCCGGGGCTTTGTGCTGTCAGAAGCTCAGTGCCAATTCCCATTGCCATGCTGCATCTGGTGTGAGCTGTTGTCATGGACTCTGAGGTTAGTTTTCTGCGGGAGACTGAGTGGCTGTGCCTGTGCTGCATAGTCTGAGCGGTATCCCCGCGCCAGGTATTCAATCCTGCTTGCTGACAGCAGCGCAAGATCGAAGTACAGGCGGCCGGAAGCAGAGTTCAAGTTCAACATCAAACTCCCTGTCTTCTCAACGGGCAGATGAAATTGCGGAAGAGCTTCAAGCACGCTACGAGGAGATCAAGGCGCAGAGCCAGTGTAGCACACTAGCAACACTAGTATTTTCAATCCGGAGGGAACTGTAAAGAGATCATGCCAAAGCTTTTGCAGCTGCTTGCAAGAACAGGCATCCACGCAAGCCTTCATGTTCACCCATTCAGGAGCAGCTGATGGATAATGGTGGTGAAGAGGCAACGAAAAGCACTTGCCTCTTGCTTACGAACCGCTTTTGACGTGCATCGTCTTGGGTGATGATTGCAGCAGGTGGACAGGGACCTTCGCAGCAACCTGTCCATGCTCATCGATCAGCAGCTGGAGGTTGTGTTTGATGGATTTGCTGTCTCAGTGATTTGATGCTCATCAGTGAGATATCAGGGCGAGTCTCAGTGCTTTTGAGTCCGCTGTTCCCTGAGGAGCTGGCTAAAGATCAGAGAAGCCAGCAAAGCGCTGAAAACAAGCAGGAGGAGCCAGATGAAAGGCAGCTGCCTGGGCTGTCGATTTCCACCTATGTGTGCGCGGTATGACTCCATGATACTCCATGTGTTCAGCTGTGAGATTTGCTAGGTCTGAAGCACGTCGCAACCAGGCATCCCAGTTCAGTTCCTTCAGTGTTGCCGACGGCCGCTGCCCCCCCGCTCACTGTTGGCATTGCTGCCAGTACTACAGCCACAGTACCAACACTGCTGTGGCTGTTTCTAACATCTTGTTTTGTCGGATACCCTCAGTCTGAGGTTACGTGTAGAGGCGCTGGCCTGTGCGTTGTGAGGCAGATGCTGCCTGGGCGGCAACTTGCGCGGGACTGAGAATGACTAGATTAGGTCCTGAGCTTCCGCAAGTGGAGGTGCTCTCCTTGGGGTTCTTCCGAGGGTACCGGTGCTGTCTAGATTTTGGCGTAACGCTTGCTTGCAAGCTTGTTGCAAGGCTTTGCCTTAGCAACAGAAACACTCGGCGGCACCCTCACAAAAGAGATCATGACAAGTCTGGAGCGTGGAGCTGTGCTTCTTTGGGCCGACCGCTTCACTCTGGGCTTCTGTGGGCTGGAGCGCTTCCGTTTCCTTGAGGCGTTTGGTTGACAATGATCTGCCAGCTGAAGAGGACCAGCCTCGTGCAGCGAGCAAAGTCAGGTTTTTGAAGCCTTAAGCGTGACCAGGCTGCAGAGATGAAGCTTTTCCGAATGGCCAGTGTCTGCATTCACAAACGTGCAGAAGGAGGCCGAACTGCATCTTGATGATTTTCGGTAGAGTCTAGACAGTTCTGTGGAACAGACGCGGCGCATGCCCTCAAGTTGTGCCGACGAGAGAGTCTGAAGATGGTTGCCCAGGAATTGTGCTTGAACCATACTCAAAAGATTCAAAAGATGATGCAATTTATGGATGGAGGTTGTGCAGTTTGCCGTTTGCGGAACTGTTGCAAGGCCAGAAACATGATCTTGATGTATCTTCTTGATAGCATGGAGCAAGATTAACGCCTCAGAAGGTCTTCCGACTGGTCATGTTGAAAGAATAGAAATGCATTTTTGCTGATTATTTGCTTGGATCTAGGTGAAACAGCTACAATGGCGCTCGATCTGCTCAAGCAAGTTATGGAGTCCATGAAAGCAGGCCTTCTTGAGAGGTATTTCAATCAGCTGAAGAAGTTCGTGCGTTGGGTAAGGCAAGAGGCCGCCGAAGTTGCCGGAGGCATCAGTCTCAGAGACCAGCCTGAGTAGGCGAGGCGCAAGAGTGAGCAAGGCAGGACTGCAAAGCAGGAAATGATGACAGCACCGGTTTTCCTCAGGAATGGGTGGAACTCTCCGAGAGTGATCTTGGCATGTTTTCGTGGAAGGGGTTCCCCCTCAAGAGAGCACAGTGCTCGTTTTTGGAGGCGAGGATGCCGCCACGCAGGTTGGCTGGACGCAGACCTGCTCTTGACAGTTTCGCTGCCTCTCAGAATGTCGAGGTGCTCGAGCAGTCCTCCAGGCATTGGGACCTCATGAAGGCACAGGCGGGGACTTGGTGCAGAAGAAGAATCTGATACCTTAGCGCTCAAAGAAGGCAGAGATTGATGCCTTTGTCTTACTTGTAGCAACTTAGCAAAGGCCGCCATTGCAGTAAAGAACAACCACTGGACCAAGCGAGTGTCACCTCTGTGTGCTGCTCAGTTGCGGCAAGTAGTTGCGCGTAGCAAGTGCAGATTTCTGCATGTTGAGAAGCTACCGTGCAAGTTGACTGGGACATCTAGCTCCTAGAAATTCCTCAACATGACGGGTGAGTGCAGGATCAGACGTTGATGCCAAGGTTGGAGCAATAAAATGACATAGGCAATGATGCACTGTTGTCGCAATCTGTTCTTTGCACCAAGGTTCTTCCTTGTTGTCGCTCTCCCAGCTGAGACCTTACATAACAAGCACTTACACAGCAACAGGTTGTAGATTAGAGGGCACCAAGAGGTTACACTAGTTTGCCAGGTGCTTTGTAGTGTAGATTTCCACAGTTTGGAAAGACTTGTAAGCCTGGTGTTGCTTTTGCAGGCCGTCTTGTGGTCAGAGGTTGAGCTTCACCTATTAGAAGAAGGTTCTACGTTTTAACTACTTGTATCTGTCAACTGGCAGTGTGTCCTCAATAAGGAAGGGACTTGCTTCAGGCGCAGTGAAGCTGTACAACAATTTCAAAAGGCAAAGAACTGGCATTCTGGAGCACTCTTAAATCGTTGTGGCGCTTCTTTGATATCATCTGGCTTGGCCGAGTTACCGCTCTACTACTTGATCGAGTGGTTGGCGAGGTGAAGCACGATCCAGGAAGCATCATGGTTTAAGCGGCAACGGAGCCTCTTTTGCAGGAAATGGAGCGAGCGAAAACCTGAGGCAAAGTCGACCAAGAAGGCAGTGATCTCAAGTTGCAGGACGGATGAATATGCGCTCTAGCCTGCCACGTAGGAGAAATCGGCACCCAAAGAGCCAAAGAAGGAGAAATGATGCCAGCCGGTTCCAATAGCACTGGGTGCGTAGATGCATTTCCAAGGCTTCCTGAAAATGGGAAGCCTAAGCCGGCCACCAACGGCCGGGGGGCACCGGCACTTCCAGGGAAATACAGATCACATGTGCGCAGGATGCCAACACATTTTAGCTTTTATGCAGACAGGCTGTGATTTGTTTTCCCCACACTGGAGCCCCAAAAAGGATCAGCAAGACAGATACAAAAGGCATCTTGATGTGATTCTTGCCAATGCACCAGGGTTGGATTCCTACGCAACAAGTTTCCTGGGCAGATCTGTTGTGAAATGCATCATTTCCGCCTCTTCAACGTACTTGTAGGCATGAGGAAAGCATTTTGACAGCGGAATCCACAGGCATGCAAAGCTGGGTTTCCCACGATGGCATCTTCACGACTGTTTGCGAGGACCCCAGCTCGAAGCCTGTGGTGCGTTTCTCAAGCCTTCCTCTTCTTCGTCTTCCTGTTTGAACAGAAAAACGAAAATCATAGGAGAGCAAGCAAATCTGGTTTATTCCCGGTATTCAGCAAGAGCCCGGTAGCAGAAGTGTATAGGCTGCTGCAGTAGGGACATCCTGCGCTGGTTGTGGGCGCCATGGGCAAGAAGACGCGTGCAGCGGGAGGCCAGGCGCCTGTTTTCGTGAATTATCTGTCAATTTTCACGTTGCCAATCCTGTGTCAGGTGATTGCCCTCTCAAGGGAGCTTCAGTTCTGGAGCTTTCCATGAAGACGGGCGTGAACGGCACAGGGTTGAATGGGGTTAGAAGGGTTTAAGCACGTCGCCGCAGACTTGCATTGCGAGGTTCTTGACTTCGATGTGTTGTCGTGTTGTGACCAAGATGTGAGTCTTGGGAACCTATGGCCGTGATCTTGACAGATCCTTGGCCACCAAAGGATACAGACTCATCAGGGGTTTTCGAGAAGTTGTTCACTGTTACCCAAGAAGTTGTCAGATGTCATTGATGCCTTTGCAGCTTGGTCAGGCTGGCAAGCTGCAGCCAATTCGTACCAAACATACAGGACATGGAGAGGGAGTAAGGATTCAACACAAGGCTTTGTGCCAGGCTTCTGCTTTTCTGCCAAGATCAACATGGAACACAAGACAGAAGGTGAAGGGCTTCCTAGCAAGCTCTCGGGTCCTGTGCAACCACCTGCGTGCAGGGGTCGGTGCCGAGTCATGAGGTCCTTTACAGGAAGGTGAGCTTTCAGCGTTCTGCTCTCAAGGCACAGCCATGAGCTTGTTTTTTTACCCACCTTCTACAAGAGGGGCTCAAAGATCGTGCGTACTCAAGCTTGTCAACCTTGAAGCTGGAGGAACTGCCACATTAGGGGGCACAGATCTTCTGAATCGCTGTCTGCCCCTCTTCGTGCTTTGACTTTCACATGTGCCTCGAAGCCTTCTCAAGTTGCATGAAGCATTCGGCATGCGTGCCTGCACTGAGCCTCAGATGCCAGCTTGGATGCATCCTCACATGGGCCTATCCATTCAGCGTGCATGGTGGGCAAGGTATTCTTCCTGCTTTTCCTGTTCCTGCCACCGGAGCCCGTGTAACCTTCCGTATTGATGAGGCCAGAAGTTGCTGGTAGAGGCAACATTCTGAACAGAGCCGTGGGCCCATCCGTGTAATCAGAATTTCCATGCGTCCTCTTTTGAAACATTAGGTGCGGAAACCTCTCCAAAAAATCAAAAATACAACGGTTTGATTTCTTGTTCGCGAAGACACCAAATCCTTACTCGCAAAGTATGTGCTGCGGTCCTTGCGGATGAGCAGGCCACGTGCGCTGTCCCCGCTTAGGGAGAATCGTTTTGGTTTAGACTCGGTAAGCCTTAGGAGCTATGAGCTGCCGCCCGCAACATCAAGCACGGGCTCGCATTCGTGGGCAGCTGCCACGCAGCTAAGAATATGCACGGTTCCAGATCGCCAGATGTAGCAAGGCTTTGTGTAGGGCTCTTTGTCGTGCGCGAGTTGTCGCTGCAAACTGCTGAGTCCTTGAAATCCTGTACAGGGACACGCTGGACCACAACAAGAGGGGTGGACTGCATGGAATCAGATTCAGCAGCACTCTCCATCCCAAAGTATGGCAAGCCTTGCAGTTCGGGCTCTCACAGCTGCCAGCAGCCTCAAGCAAGTACAGGGAGGCTAAGGCCGCCGGTTTCGCAGCGGGGGGTTGATAGTGTTTCACTGAGGGCCCAAGATGCATGTCTGTAGCTGGTGAACTGAAACTTGTACCAATCAGACATTTTGAGAAGCTCGCTCCGAAGTAACTTGTGCCTGTGCGTGGCCTTGTGTTTCTTCGCAGGAATCCCAGAGGCACAGAGCTGCGGAGCAGTGCTGAAGACAGGTTTGAAGTAAAAACAGGTCTTAGGATTTCCTTCAGTTTTCACGTTGCAGTTGGGGCTCTTGATGGGTAAGAGAGCCTCTTCTCACGGAGTTGTCAGTATGCAAGGCGTTGCCGGTGTAACCAGCAAATCTTCCCGTAGCTGTCGTGTGAGCACGACAAATGCAGCATCTCAAAGGAAGGCCCCGCAGCCAGCTCTGCCACCGCTGAAGAGCCGCGATTTGCTGCTGTCGTGCTTGGGAACATGTTGGACATAGCTAGCACCAAGGAACCTTCCGATGGCTTTGCAGGGTCTGTTCGAAAGGCATCAAAGCATGCTTGTCAGGCATATTCTCCCTGACACATAAAGGATGCTACCCGGCCTTCAGAAATATCGTGTGTTGGGCTAAGTGAGGTGCCTCGCGTGCTGAGTGGCAGGCCGAAGGCACAGTGGCGATCGCATCAATGACGAGCGCGATCCCCATACCTGGTTGAGCTGTCCTTGACCGTGGCTGATGAAACCTCCTGAGTTTCACAGATGCAGACATGTTTTTGTCGTCATGGGAATTTGGAGTCCTTGCAGGACAGTAGTTGCATTGTGCCTGCAGAACAAGCGGGTTTAGACAGACCTTATCTGCTAAAGCCTTCACTTGTCAGCTGCGTGCAGTCGTGCCAAATGCTTTGAGCCAACGAGTCCATCCAGCTGGCGTGCGCTAGAGCATTGAGGATACAGCGCTCCTACTGATGCATGACCTCTGCAGCGGTGGTAATCGTGCATCAGCATGGGAGTCACTGTGCTGCTTGTTCTTGGCATTAATGTAGGCAATCCTCAGCCGCTGAATGCATGATCTAGAGACGCTCTCCTATCACAGGGGGTTATCTCAAAAAACATTTGCTTGATGAAGCGCATTGGCACCCTATCGCAAAGAGCTAAAGGTGCTAGGAGTTTTCCTTTGCCTCGATGTTATATGGTAGGCGCGCAGGCAGCAATGCCTCGAAGATCAGGTCAGATTCGAGGCTTCGGAAATCAACTTCGTGCTATTTGCAGTTTGAAACAGTTTGAAAGGTTTATCCTTGCACCGCTGACTTCCCTCTGTCCCTCCCTATGCCCACTTGTAATTCTTCACATGGAGCCAAGGATGCACAATTGAGCCACAATGGAAAAGTCCAGCATCTACGTCATCGATGCAGCCCTGTGTCAGGTTTGCTTGGTCTTCTTGTGGCTCATCCGTGAGATCTCGACCGTATGCCTGAGCAAAGTGCAAGCCGAGTCTTCGCCTCTGGCGTACCTGGTACCTGCACTGTGAAGCACCAGGAGACGCGGCCTTGGACCTGTTACATTTGATTTCCTCTTGGGAGCACTTCTTGTGTGGAAAAGGTCCGACCAGGACCAGCAGCACCTGTTTTATGAGCCGAGGTCAGGCGACGGTCTGACATCTAAGTGGTGTTGAAGGCAGGTCTCCGGAAGGTCTGACTACCACAGTTGCCCCCTTGACAGCATCTGGATTCCTCCGCCTGTGTTCGCGCAGTGTACCACTTCTGTCTGTGGTTACTGCCACGCGTGCTTGTTAAATGGAAGCTGCAAAGGGGGCAGGGGCTCTGCTGCCGAGTTGGTTTTGCCCCGTAGGCGGCAGGCGGTAAGCTTTGCGGACTTTACCAGGGCAGGACTTAGACTGATGTCCCATGGGCATGCATCAGCATACCTCTGTATTGCCCCTACCCGCCAAACAAATCCAGTCCCATGACTGCCATGAGTGCTGGTACCGGCGCCGTCGGTGCCTGCGGACATTAAGCCATTAAGCCCTGCTCTGCATCTTGCGGTATCCGCGGTATTTGTGA